TTTACGACAACGTAAAATAAGTGGGCGAAATAAAGTACAGGTTTTGGGAGTGTTATTTTCAGGCTAAACCCAGCTGATGAGAGCTAATAGGCCCCAAAACCAGTCGTGGAAAAAGCCTGAGACCTTTACGACAACGTAAAATATGTGGGCGAAATAAAATACATCCATCCTGGGGTGCCTGAAATTAACACATTTCGAAATCTGTACTTACTTACATCAAACAGTAGACTAAATACATTTAAATTAACTCCCAGACATTTGAAAAGTTCCATATAGAGCGCAATTTTCCATCGTTTTGAAGAAGATAGAGCTGGAATTATCCTCCACTACAACTCATCATTCATTCCACGTTTACTCCGGCGTGGATTTTCAAATATTTGTTTATTTCTTATTAAAGTCTCTACAGCCTCATGTGATCGACCAGGCAAACAGACCGCCAGAGACTTCATATATGGTAATTTGTTTGCCATTGAAAATAGCTCGTTAAAAGCAAGTATTTGCACATCTTTAGGTGCTTGTCGAAGCCAAGTGTTTGCCCGAGCAGCTTCAGCTTTGTTAAGCACCTGTTTCCTTTCGATGTGTTCGTACAAATGTGAAACAGGATTCAGCATATTGTCAGCCTTAACTGTCCGTCCAAGTAAAGTAAAAGTGATTTTATGTCCGAACTGCGATAAAAGCGAAAATAGTTGAATTAGAAACGGAATTATCTAGACTGAAAACTATGTAAGTTTAGTCCGTTGATTCGACAAATGTCTTGGCAGGTTCAATAAAAGTGGCCCAATTTGCAACAGTCCAATAATCCAATATCGTTATTCAATTCCAGTGAAATTAGTCCAAAAATGTTATATCATCAGGTAGAAATTACGGTAAGTAATATTAATGTTCCGGCATCGAACCGATAAATTTCCCCTTTAAATCCCCTTTACAAAATGATAGGATTTTATTTTAATTGATTCCGACAATTGCCCATTTATTTTCCGGCAATAATAGTCCGTGACGCGTTATAAAACCGCTGCCGATTAGATGGGACATTATTCTTACCGGATAAAAGGTAACTTTATTACTGGGTCTAGGAAAGTTGAATTTATATTAATGGCTTAATCGAATAAAATTTTCCTTTTTGCTCGATTTTTCCAATTTTCACCTGAATTTACCATTCATTCCATTTTGGTGGCTTCGCTCTCTTGTTCAATGCAACCACCATCAGTTATCCCGCCTGTATCGAATAACCGAACCGAGGAACCACAATTAAAGTTATTCAAAGTATAGAAGCAAGTTATAACTTGCCCTTTGGTATTCGAGATCTTTGTCTATGCCCGCATTCCTCTTCCGATATAGCGCGTCCTCTCATACCCTAATCGGTGCGGAATCTGCCCGTATTCGAGGATTTAATTATTTCAGGTCTGCCTGCGATCTGCGGTTTGATTAGTCTGCACGACTTCATTGTTAAAGACTTGAAGCGGCAAACTAACTATTGTTGTTAGGCTGAATGAACCTGATGGATCGACGCAGGAAGAACTAATCTCAATGAACAAAGCAAGTGATAAGTTAAAAAATGCACCAGCAAAAAAGCACTTTTTGTTAATACTCCAGAATAAACTAATTGTAAAAATTGAATAGCCATGGTGCGGACAATCTAGTACTTTACGCACCACATAAAATTTCAAGCGATGAGCGGTTCAGGTCTTTTCGGCGCATACTTCGGTATGAATCATGGCAAGTTTCTATGACAACCGAGCTGGGTGATGACGCTAAACATAATGGGACCGCGTTGTCAGCACCAATGAATATTTTCAAAAGAATGCAATTGCCGAATAATTCACCAAAATTCAATATAGATTGAACTGTAGCATCTGCCGACTTTGACTTCTTTCGATCTCATCACTTATGCATTTAGCTTTTTCCTCGCGAAACCCTAACTTTGCACTTGGCAGAGGATCGACGTCTGAACTTTCATATCCATCCGAGAGCAATGTTGGTCCGTCGGTGTTTTGCAGATAATAAATGTACGCTGGCACTATCGGAGCGTCGTTCTGCAAAACGATGGCTACACGTTTTCGCAATAAAAGTTCGTCTATTCGGAATTTTCTTATTTGGCGCCTTTTAACAGCTTCTCGAGCCCAATTTTAAGGCTGCTGCCAAAGTTTATTTAGTTCGATCCGATCGTGCACTCCATTGAAAACTTGCCGAAGAGCCAAACTTGGAAATTGCCCTGGAAAGCGATTTATTTATGTGTCACCTTGTGATTGAACCTAAACATAATAAACAAAAACTAAACAAAACTAATGAATAAATCGATTCAAAAACCACCGATGGTACAAACAGCTCATTTATGTCCTCCAGTCAGGAGGATTTTAAAACGAAGAACACTTCGGCCGGTTTCGGCTGATATTCTGTATGAATCTTTGGGCGTTTTTATAATTATTGCGCCATTGGTCGGATGGAATCCGAATAGATTTGCAAATTTCGCTGTGATTAAAAGGGTTTTTCTGTTGATTTTAGGTGAAAATGACCTGTAAGTTTCCGGAATTTGCCGAAAAACCCGAATCGCTGACAGCAGAGACCACGACCGTAGATCCGCTTCAGTCAAAACAGCCAAAAAAATTCAACTCGAGATCATTCAGCCAGTTTATGGACGTCCAAATGACCAGTTTTTTGTCCGTTATATCAAACACGAAGGGCTTTTACGCTGATCTGGCCGATAATTTGTGCGGAGACGAAAGTTTCGCCGAGCAAAGGGATAAGAAGTGCTGGAATGGAGAACGAGTTGCCGAGTAAGTTTCTCTAAACTCTAGAGCTGATGATTTTTTTAAATGCACTGGAAAAACATGCCAAGTTAATTGGCAATCAGACAAGATAATTAGAAATCGTTAAATTACGTTTTTCCATTGTTTCCCATGTGGCAAGAGCCATAACTTATTAAACATTATGCAACAGCTGCGCTTGGTGCTTATGCATAATTTTCAAATGCTAATTCATGAAGTGTAAATAATCCATACAGAACAGGATTTCAATATAAAATGCGGCATTTATTGCAGGTATACGAAAACGGTTGCCCTCGTCGGTGCAAATAATCAAAAGTACAATCCCGAAGTAAAAGTGTCCTCGACTGAGCCGCATGTGATGGCCAAAATCGCTACTTTAGTGGACAAACTGAGACACGTGCACCATGTAAGTAGGAAGTTGGCAATTGAAAATGTGGACAAAAGAAGAAACTGCATTGATTTAGATGGCCTTAAGCTCTCTGGGGCCGAACTATGCAGACATTGACATGCAGAGGGACGGAGTGGATGGCTCTGGCTCTGGAAACGGTCCAGGATTTGAAGATGATGACGAATATAGCCGAGGATCCGGATCTGGACATGGCCCTGTTGAACCTGAAGGTAATGTTCTTAGAAAACACTATTTGCTTTATAGAACCGTTTAAACTTTGATTTCAGAAGGAACAGAACCAAGAAAACACAACGACGACATCGACATCATTCAAACTGTTGACCAGCAGACCCCAACTGTCCACCATGTGTCCAGCAGTAGCGATTTACGGTCCACCCTGAGCCTTTTGACCATTCTCACGATACTCTCGCTCATTTCTTCGAGATTCTAAGACTTCAAAGACCATCACTTTTGTTTTCGCTTAATGTTACAGACAAAAGTGTTATGGAGATTAGCAGCTGCAAGAGCAATGGACAGGAAGCCTCAACCATAGAGCCCCTGCGACTGACTGAGACTTGTATTGTTGTAGAGTAAGAGAAATTAATCAGAGATGTTGCTTTCACTTAATCACTAGAGCTAGGAATTTTCTCAACAGGACAGGTTTAGATTTGAATTCTTATTGCCAATAAAATGCCAATTATTTTGCATAATAGTGCCTATACATATACGAAATGTACAGATCTTATGTAGGAACAAAGCTGATTGCTCAAAGGAAGTAACCGAACAAGTTCTGGCAATAAGAAACATATCATTTACATTTGGTCTTCCACTTCTGGTTTAACGCCGCATTTATTCTGCGCTTTCTTCCATTGATTGAAAAAAAATGTCAAGCTACTTCGAATGGATGAATGAATGCGTGTAGATATTTTTTATATTGTATCTTTAAATTATTTTGAGAATTGTCTGTGATTAAACAATCTATTATTTAATGAATGTAAAATTCTTCTAAATTATATGGAAAATGTTAATTAATATATTACTATGTAAGTCGATGGCTATGTGATTTAGACAATTCGGTTAGAGAAGATAGGTTTATTACTGTATAGAGGCGGATTTAAAGAATGTTGAGTATATAGTAGTTGTTAAATCGAGAGATATGTATGATTTGTTGGATAGAAGAGGGTGTAAATAATCAATTTTCCATTTATAATGATTTGGTAAGTAAAAGGTTTCATCGCTAATTAATTTGTCTAATGTTTTGTGATAATTTTTGCCATATCGCTATGAAGTGACGAAACGTTGAATAACACTTCTAAGGAATACTGTGGTAGTCACTTCATTGATTTAATTTGTATTTTTGTGAATAATATTCTTTAGGCTTAGGCTTAGATCAGATGCTCAGTTTTTTTACGGATTGTTCTTTGAGCAACCTGTTAAAGAAATCGGGCATTCCACTTTCCAATGTCGATTTTGTTTAAATAATTTTACTATGTAAATATAGTAGCAATTTTCGGTTTGATTATTTAAACCAACCTTTACGAAACCTTATTTACTTGCTACTAATAGTCATCCGTTTAATCCTGTAAAAAATAGTAAACGTTAACTTATTGCTATAAATAGTATAATGATTATATAAATAGATAGCTATAAAGGTTAAGAAAGTAAATATAAAAAATGTTTCTAAATGAATGTGTCAATGTATACAACATGTAGATATGTTTGTGAGTTTTTTGTGATTTTTCAACTAAATTAATTCCGACATAGACAATTATACCAACAACATGGGAAAAGTGTCGCTTGTTTATCTTTTTTATTCCGATTAATATTTAAACATTTTGAACGACAAAGTCAATCCAATAGTCAAAGACACCTATTAGGTGATTTTTTTACTAGCAACCAATTCCACTTTTTCTCTTGTTGGTATCCAGGTATGAGTTCTAAAATAAAAAAAAAATGAGACTAAAATTCAAAAACAAAATAAATTTTGACACATTATCGACGGATTTTGTTGCACCAAAAGTTTCTAAAGTTGCATTCAGCGACTTCCAATTGCACTGTGTATTTTTGTATACGGCACATATAGTTATTCCTGCTTTATTTTATACTACAGTGTATTTTTATTTAGTGGTAAATAAATTTTTCTAACAAACGCAACAGTTTTTTTAACCCTTTTTCTAAATTGACAACCACTTCACAACTTAATCGTCCAACTTGGGCCCTTAATTTCATGCGTCTACGCATAGATAAAGACGAGTAAGTGATTTACGGGGATTTACTTTTATTTATTTATTTTTGTTTAATGTATTGCCTTACAACGTAGTTCAAAAGTCCAAACGACCTCTGGAGGCTAAAATTATAACTACACGTTAACTAGTAATTTGACACTTGTTTTGTTAACATTGGTGCACTGAACATGTCAGAACACCTCTGAACAAGAAGTGACAATTATGCAAACACCCGTGACCGCTTATGAGCGCCCTCTGCCAGCTGTTTACGTCCTTGAACATCCCCCCTTCGAATGGTAACTAAATAGGGATAGTGAAGGGAACACTGTGGTACATAACACAAACAAACATTTTTTGCGAGCAGTAAATTAATTACTATATTTGCAAAAATTGTTGTAACTGATTGCGTGATAACGTATTTAATAGAATATTATCATAAGTTCGCTTTTATTGGCCGGAGATATATACTAGGTTGATAACTGTAAATAAGCTACCAGCTTTCAGCCTTAAAAAATTTGGTGAATGCAATCATCAAGAATAAAATATCAGGTAAATGACTCACATTCTACTGGAGTTTCACGCGCGCCGCCGTCAGAGGCGCTAAACGTCTATTCAAACTCTATCACGGCCGTTTCAATTCTAAGGGGGGATGTTCTGTGTATTGGTCTTTGTGTTTTGCTTCGTTCTAATCAACTTTTTTTTGCAAGATTTTAAAGAAATAGAAAAAGATCGAATAGTGTGGAAGTATTGTTTGATGCTATAGATGTCATCAACCCCAATAAATAAACAAGTCTCAACTGTCAATCGACAACGAGTGATTTGACGTTTCGCATCGCCACCATCGGTAGTTGAACTCATAGCTAAAGACTTTGAATATAAAACTAAGTTAGTCTTATGCTCGTCTTTATCTATGGTTTCATATTCAAAGGCCCCTAAAGACGAATTGACCCCTCGAAAATTTGACCACAAGCTACGTTCGCTAACTCAATCGCAATGCTTCTAATTACCTCACTAACTCTAAATTAAGGCTAAAAGTTCGTAATAAAGTGGAAAGTCAAACCTGGAAGATCTCGAAGAAGAACATTGAAGATGAAAACAATTTTTTCGTTGTAACAAAATACGCATTTGTCAAACACACCAAAATCTAATGACATGAAGCCGATCCCATTGTTTTCATGGCTGTCTTGGATTTTTTCTACATGATCCACAATGCCACTATTAACTTTTTTAAATAGTTACGCAGCAACTGAGCAAATGAAAAACTGATTCAGACTGAAAATCGGAAAAAACCTAAACACAGTTCGAATTGAGGCGAATAACCCCGGAAAGAATCTGCTTGTATTTGCAGTTGCCTGGGCGCTGCACAACTCGGCAACACTCGAACAGTGTTCATTCCAGACGTGCAATGCCCTGATAATACGGGAACCAACAAATTTAGCAATAATACAGAAAGAGACAGACATTGAAACCGTGGCGGCTCGCTGCCTGTTCAACAAACCGCACATTTGTCACTCTGTGACGTTAGAACAGTTCCCGTTTTTTGCAGTTGGCGAAGGAAGGGTGCGACGAATCGTATGGCGAAAAACATGCTGTGTGTGTACAGTTTCGGGAATAGTTTTACCGTTTAATTATGCTCAGCAGCTTGATTGCATTGTTGTGATAGTGCGCGTACGACAATTATTGTTAAATGTACCCGATTAGCCAGACATAACTGTGCAATTGTCGATGACCTTAAGTAAAAATCCATTGAAAAGCGAGTGAACTCCTAACTACAATCAAAATGGCGCATCAAATGCCCCCTTCAGTGAACTGTTCTTTGGACGATATTGACCTTACCGCATTGAAGGTAAGCCTTTGAATCTGTTTGGTTGATTTTCCGTTGTGAAAACTCAACGTTTTCCTCATAACAGTCCAGACAATTGAACTGTGTTTATAGTTGGGAAATTTTGGGTGTGTTGTCCTTCCACTGTCACCCTGAAACCCCACTAGTACCTGCCTTAAATCAGAAATATTTCATTTTTCAGGATCCTGCTGGCATTTTTGAGCTGATCGAAGTGGTGGGCAATGGAACCTATGGCCAAGTGTACAAGGTAAATTCTTTGTTACACTTTATCTCATTCCCCAGAGATGTGTCATCTCTCATCTTATTGGTTCTTAGAAGCTTGCAAAGGGATTAACAGTGCTTTATCACGTAAATTATCCGAGATTTTAACGATTTTGGTTTATTGTTCCGTCGTAGGACATCTCCTGCGTCTACGAGTTACCTATTTGAAAAGTTAATCAAATTTGTAGTTTTTTGGACTTTTTTCTAAAGCTAGAGTGATCAAACAGCGAGGTTTAACTGTTTTTTAAGTGAAAAACCACACACATAAAATTGCAGTATCTTACTCGCCTTAAATCGCCACTCGTAGTAAACGGGTTCGATTCCCTCAAATTAATTGCATGCTCAGGAGTGAGAGGAACATACTAATTGCCATGAAAACCACTCTAGCTTTGTCTGTTTTTCTGCATATACCAGGGATGATCGGAAAATAATTTTCATCGTGGAGTGTTTTCGCCAATTGCTAAATTGCTCATTGTAAGATTTTTGAGCTTACCGACGAAAATAATGCAACATTAAGTGCCTGACAACTTTTTAGAACTATTGTAGGATAAATTTAGATTGTTTTGATGTATAATTAATAATATTAAACTCTGTGTCTTGGAAGGAAATTAACAATGTTCTCTTCTTACTTTCTGTTAATTCCGGCCAGTTAAAGCCCTAGTTAAGCTCGTTAGTTTCTGTGAAAATTGTCGCTTTACTTATTGATGGCTGCAGAGGCAATCGAGTGTTTCTGGTAAAGCAAAACGAGTCAATAAAACTGAAGTAAACGAAAGGAGACCCGATCAAAGGTGTAAAAGATAACCGATAGTTGACAATGCCATTCTTACAAAATCGCACTCTTATGAGAACGGTAAAACTGATAAGAAGACCGAAGGAAGAAGGTCGGTATAAATCCGAAACCTTCTGCCTTGTCACAAGTCAAAATTCATTCAAAATCTACTGCAAGGCGATTATTTTACAAGATCTCCAATTGAAAAATTGGTAAAAAAAGATGTTAATCGCCACAGATTTGAGACTTTAAATAAATATCTGCAAAATAATCAAGTTTAGAGTATTTAGCAAAATAAACTCTGTTAACAGCACGCAGGTGGAAAGCTTCACTTCGGAAAAACATCCTCTATTTACAAAACATTCGGCGAATATAACAATATCAATTCCAAGGCGAGTTGTTTGATTATTTAAGGCCCGATTGATATGTTGGGCTGTCGATTAGGTTTCTGAAAGCAGTAAATCCAGGCCAATAAAATTGTTTGAATGTCCGGATGTGAACTTTTCCAATTGTAGATAACCTGAATACATTGGCAAGCGGTTCGTCTAGGTACATCAATAATTGTACATGGGTGCTCATCAACATGAATTTGTTCATAGTTACAGTTACAGTAGTAAAATCTCATCGTAGTAATGCAGCGCACTTATCTGAACAAATCATTGACCAAATCATCGTAATTGCTTCGACAGGCAATCAAGTTGTTATTGACTGGTTAGAGGCGAGTGCTTGACACCGATGTATCAAAAGTGGGCATTTACGCTGTTTATTCGGGAAAATGTGCTCCTCTTATCAATGGCTTTCACTGCCTGTATATCATTGTCAACTAGTCACTAGCATCTAATTCCCAATAATCAACGGTTGCTATTTATTCGGTGCGTTAAATGGGATTTCGATCTAGCCAAGCTTGTGAAATCCACATTGGCATAATTCGGTTTCCAAACTGAAATATACCGCAATTCCCCTGTTACCATTTTCATTGTGTATTGTTTAGGCGACTCCCAAGACTCGAAATTCCATTCTTTTTCCCATGCAAATCGCCGGCTAATGTGAACAAAGCATTGTTTTGGAATTGTCTTATTAATTAAGAAAAAATCAGTAGATGAAATGCAATAGAAATGTTCCTTTATAGGGCCGCCATACCAAAACTGGCCAGCTGGCCGCCATCAAAGTCATGGACGTTACCGAAGACGAGGAGGAAGAAATCAAATTGGAGATCAATGTGCTGAAGAAGTTTTCGAATCATCGGAATATTGCCACGTATTACGGGGCTTTCATTAAAAAGTCTCCGCCAGGTGCGTTTTCCGATCAGTTTCCACATAGTTTCACTACCTAATAGATTAAGAAAACAGTTGAATTCTTCGTTGTTTTAGGCAAAGATGACCAGCTGTGGCTGGTGATGGAATACTGCGGCGCAGGTTCAGTTACAGACCTAGTGAAGTCAACCAAAGGACAGTCATTGAAAGAAGAATGGATTGCGTACATTTGCAGAGAGATTCTGAGGGGGTTGTCATATCTTCACTCCAACAAAGTCATCCACAGGGACATTAAAGGACAAAACGTCCTGCTGACTGATAATGCCGAAGTCAAACTAGGCAAGCCCGTAAAAACCGTCTGAAACCAGAATTAACAGTTTGAATGTTTGCAGTTGATTTCGGCGTGTCTGCTCAACTCGACCGAACGATCGGCCGAAGAAACACTTTCATCGGCACCCCGTACTGGATGGCGCCCGAAGTGATCGCTTGCGATGAAAACCCGGAGGCCACTTACGATAATCGAAGCGATTTGTGGTCGCTGGGAATCACTGCTTTGGAAATGGCCGAATCGCAGCCGCCCTTGTGCGAGCTGCATCCAATGAGGTAAGCACCAAACCATCCATTACCCTCAAATGATTTATCGAGGACATTTGCAGGGCTCTGTTCTTAATCCCGCGCAATCCGCCGCCGAGGTTAAAGAGCAAGAAATGGAACAAGAAGTTTCATGGGTTTATCGAAACCGTTCTGGTCAAGGACTATCACGAACGTCCCTATACAGAGCAGCTTCTAAAACACGCATTTATCAAGTAAGTAGCGCGACCTTATAGTGTCATTTATTGAACTTCAGTGATTAATAGTTGCCAGTAAAGTTTCAAAAAGTACATTGGTTCTAGTAATTAGTTAATAGACTATGAGGAAAATAGGCTATTGTGCGCCGAAATGTTCTATTTTAGGGCCTTAGAAACTGCTCAATTTTCATGGGGCCTAATTAAATGAGTGAAATTTCTCATTATTAACTAAGTCTGTTTTTGTTATCAGGGACCAGCCGACTGAGCGGCAAGTTAGAATACAGCTCAAAGACCACATAGATCGTTGCAAGAAGCGAAAGCAGGAAAAGGAGCGGGACGATTACAGATACTCCGGGTCAGAGAACGAGGAGGAAGAGCCTCAGATCGCTGGCGAACCCAGTAGCATAATTCAGGCACCTGGTGGTGACACTTTGCGCAGAAATTTCCAGCAGATTCAGGAAGGACGCACCCTGGTTGAGCCCCCACCGAGGTAATTAAGAAGCAAACTTGCCTTGTAAGCAATCAGCTCATTGTGGCTTTTTAGAAGCGGCAAGAACAAGGAACGCGAGGAAATTCCTGAGCCTGGTCCACCTGCCAGACCGCCCATCCCTCAACGGATTATTGTGGTTCCTGATCCTGCTGCTCCACCTAGAAGGTAGTAGATTACAGGACTGGACATTTATATTGGGATAATTAAAGTGTTTGTTATAGACCGCTGCCGCCACCTCCCGATAATAACTTTGCGGCGTCCAGACCGCAACCGCAGCAACCTCAAAGAAACTCCCAATCGCAGCACATGTTTAAACCAATGGTATGTAGCGCAAGTGCCCAAACTCGATTCCAGTAGTTCTCATCATTGTATTTTTTACTGAGCTCAAGGCCCACGTTGACACAGCTTTCCTTCATCTAATTTTGCTCTTCTGTTTATTTCATGTCCGTGTTTCACATTTCACTGCAGGCTCCTGCACGTAAACCCGAGGTACGTTGTTTACACATTTATTTTGCTTCGAATATTTGCTGGGCCCTATTTGACTTGCAGGTTTTCAATCATACGTTTGATTTTGCTTATAATGCACAACCATTTCCGCCTAAAGCGATGAAAGTTTGAGACTGTTGTATTGTATGGGTTCTATTCTGCTTTTTAGGAGCTGGATTCGCTTGCAGCCAATCTGAAGGAGCTGGGAATGCAGCAGCCTGTGGCCAATAATGGGGCTGCACAGCCTGAAGCCCCGCCTCGTAACAATAGAAACAATTCGCGCTCACAGGTAGTTTGCCAATTTGTGTTTTTTTTCGAATCTTTGAGTGGTTGGGTTTCAGGCGTCGAATAATAACAATAACGTATCACCACCGAGTGCCTCAAATTCTTCCAACGATCGGCCAATCGAGGCGCTAGTCGATAGTGAAAGCGATTCGGAGCCCGAAGATGGAGGAAGAGGGGCCAGAAACGATGGAACTTTGTTGGCCAGCGATCCTCCTAAGCCTCTGTAAGTTTGATTCGTGCGCCGTCAGGACTTTACTAAAATGTGTTAATAATTGCCCCTCATTTTTGTTTCTTATGTTTGTCCAATTTTCTCACTTAATTTGCTTTTTGGTTCCGTTTTGTTTTGTTAGTCCCGAGTTTTCTTATAGGGCCGGCCTTCCGGGGGTGCCGGAAGGTACCGCCAGCGTCTCGAGTCCAGGGGCTACTAGTGGCTCGGGATCGGGCACAGGGGGGGCTCCTAATCGCCCCCTACCGCCCACGCCCGACGATGACGAATCTCAAGGCGATCGCACGCTGGTTCTTCGCAAGGTATGTCAATCTATTAGTGCGCATTTTATATGGCTTTTTGTGAAGATTTCCGTTTATTTTCGCCTTCTGAAGTTGTTTTTGGATGCTGAATAATTGAAAGTTTCGCGTAGTTCTCCCTTGTTCAAAAGCAACTTCTGACCAACAATCCCTTATTTTGTTTTATTTTGACAATGGCAGCAGTCCGCAGCAAATCTAGCGAAGAGAAGTGATGATTTTGACGAAGCGACCCTCCTTAAAGACTGGGACTTTGACAAATTTTTTCCGATTAATAAAAGCGGCGAAAAGCAAAACGAAAAGCCGAGTACTGGCGTGAAAGAGGACCCGGCCAAGAAACAGGGCCATCGAAGAAACGACAGCGATTCGAAAGTGAATCCCTTCTTCAGAGGTTTTCGCCGGGAAAACTCGGACTTTTTCCCGCTCAGCTCGCGCCACAGTGCAATTTATATCGATCAGAAAGCGCGATCCAGTGGAATTTTCAATAACAGACGTGGGTCGGAGACGGGCGTTCAGGGCAAACGATCCTCTGGTGAACCCGTTTTGATGGACTGGAAGAGGACTGATACACCTCCATCGTCGACACCAAAGAAAACTGACATCAGCAGGTGCGACAGTGTAAATCCCTTCAAAGCATGTTTTGTGGTTTATCTTAATTAGGTGACTTTTGCGTGGTGGGTGTTCAAGAGGAGAATGAAGTTGAAAAAGTCGCATAGGCTTTGGTAGGGTCTCCACCACGACCGAGTTCGAAATCTCCTAAAGATTCTCAATAGGCAGGGACTGCGACTGCGAATTGAGGTAGGAAACCCTGCCAAAGCGTGTGCGAACGGATATTGACTGTTCGCTTGGACGCCCTTTTTACAAATAAAAGTCCCACCTAACTACTTTGTTTGATGAACTTACTAACGAAATAAACTACCAAACATGCAACTGAGAGAGACTGCCAAAGCAGCATAATTTACTTGTAATTGAGCATACTAATGAAGAGAGTGGGTGAGCGTTCACTGAAACCAATCATATACGAAACAGTTTCATTCGTCCAAGACGTGAGAAAACCGAGTCGGACATTGTGCTGAGACACTCGGAGGTTCGCCGAAGTATCCGAGAAACGCTCGAGGCTCGACAAAAAGAGGTCGACTTGCAATTTGCCAAAGAGGCGGCGAGCATGCGGCGAAGAAACTCGAAGCCGATCGAAATACATTCGCTAAACGTATCGAACATATCGGGCGGCTCTCAGTCGATCGACGGGGATGAATTCTCTTTTATCCAGGTAACATTTGGCTTTTTTCTGGTTTGTTTTTCGGGTGCTTTGAATAACATCACTGACGTTTTGTCTGCCCAACTCATTTAACCGAAATTAATCCCATTAGTGCCTGATAGACTCATTGATTTACGTAGGGCAGGAATCTTGGTGCCGGACTTGTATCTAACTTCATTTTAGGGAACGTCCATTAGCTGGCGCAATAATTCCAAATTCCATTGTTTGTGAACAGCAGCAAACTTTCCCGAACACATACTGTAAGCCAGCTTTTGGACTGTATAGTCCAACAAACATAGAGCTAGAAGCGCTAGATAGTTACATAGCTTAGGTTGTAGCCTTATAGTTTCCACCCTTCGATAACGCTTTTCTGTTTCGGAAGCAGAGCTTTGATTAACCAAGTTGGGTGTGTTTCGGTGAAGAATGTAAATAATCTTGCTTTTACTAATCTAAGCAGTCCATAGAAAAAAGCTCGGCGCATCATTGGGCCAGTCCAAACTGGTTTTTTAAGTATTCTACTCTTTCCAATTCAAGTAGGTATTAGGAGTTTTGCGTAAGCAATTTGAAATAGTTTAAAGTCACTAAGTGTGAAGTAGCGTTCCCAAAACTTTGTATTGTCTGTTTTAATCACGAGTCTGGGACTGGATTCGACTTCGTTTTATATACACATAAATTGAGTTTTACTCCAATCCCAGGCGCGCTGTTAGGACAGACAATATTAAATTTAGAACTACTAATGGTATTGATGAAGTTTCTAAATTGTATGGGCTAAGGGTAGTTTTTTTTTTAATCAAACGCACTTCTTTTGCTTTTTCACAGAAAGCCACTCTCTTCAGCTCATGCATGGAGGCTTCGGTTGAAATAACCGAAATTTTCATGCCGGAGTTGGAAAATTGGCTCTCGAATAACCGCTTTGTAATTTCTAACCAGACAAAGAACAAACCTTAATTTGCCAAATAACTGATCAAATCCAACCGACAGAGAATTCTATTAATCTTCCAAACCGAAAAGAGCATGCCGGAAGTTGAAGCATGGAAATGATGGATGTCGATGAGATTTACTGCAGGGCTGCTGCCGAACTCTAGTAAACTTTTTGTGTGTGTGTTTTGCTTTTTCAGTATTGTGCTATGTGTTCCGATTTATTTATTGTGTGCATTGTGTAGGCAGTTTTGCGTCATTTTTTCCTATTTATTCAAATTTGAACCAACATGTTGCATTTCCAGTCTAATTTGGTTGTTGCTTATTCTAGAACGGACGCAGCAGCGACCATTCTAGGCAAAGTAGTGTTTTGCCAGATCTACTCAGTCAGGCCAGTGGCAGTCCAGGCACACCTTCATCCAGGGACAAATCGCAAAGCGAAGAGGTGGGTATAATAGGCATTGTTCATACCATTATTCAAAGTGTTCCAACAAATTATTCCCTGAGTGAATATGCAAACTATTCCTGCTATCGCTTTTGTGATTTAACCCGCGTGCACGTTTTAATAGGGTTTTGTTATCACTGTTCTTTCCTTAGCCCCAGTCATGTCAAGTGAACCCTAGTAAAACGTAATATAGAGGGTGGACCAATGCAAATCACCCCACATTTATGACTCGGTTAAAGGCGGGTGTATAAACTCAGAATTTTACTCGCCAATTAACACTCTTGAATTTGCGTTATTATTTGACAATTGTTTTATCAATTTAGTGCAAATCTGCGCTCTTTAAAAGTGTTTCAGTGACCTTTTCAGTCGTAAATTGTACACACACAACCGTCAAACCGGGAAAAAACGATGCACTTTTCTACTGGCTTTTGCTTCAACCGTGAGTCTATAAATTCGCCTTCAATTTATCAGGATGGAACTTCTCATTGGTTCACCCTGTATATATGCCCCAAAACAGACAAACTGTTGCCCCATTTGAACAATTAAAAATCTAACCCTTGTCCCCGTTACAACATTGTCTTATCACCAACCAATCAGAGTATTTACTCGGATTAATGTTTATTATCAGTAATAATGATTGTCTTTCTCTTTGGTTTGTGCCTCTAACGAGTGACGTCTGTAACCCCCCTGTAAATGTAAGTATGACACTTAAATGTTTATCTGTGTAGTGTTTGAGCATTCGAATGCGGTGGCTTTGGCTCATTCGGCTCATGCTAGTTGAAAAGCGCTTTTTTGCATGAAGTGATTTAAAAACATTTTATGGAAATCTGGATCAGTCAAATGCCATCCATCGAAAAAGTTTATCGTAGTTGTTGCCCATTTTGCCATTTCATTTTAACGTTCGTTTTACCATTCATTTTTGTTGGTTTCGGAAAACTAACGGGAAAGACTAATTTTAATTTTAAGCTTTGTTCTACTAACGTGCTAGGATTACAGTTGGGAATGAAAGTATCGCTGTGAGGCTTAACAATGGTATTTTTTTTATTTTAAGGCGTTTCTTTTACAAGTTATTTTTGAGCGCTAAACAGCTCAAAATATTTGCAATAAGTGTGCAGAGAATGATGTGAGTGATCGATCATAAGTGCTTAAGCTTTTGGAAAATTTCATCAGCAAATCGTCGGCAATTAAAAAGAAACAAGGTTGCTGTTTAAAAATAAATAATATGCATTGAAGTGTCAGTCTGCAATAGATTTCTAACTAGTAAATGAACAAGAGACAAAAAGTGTTCAAGAAAGACTTAAAATAAATCAAAATTAATTCCTGGGTTTCAGTCATTTATTGTCTTTATTTATCAATTAAAATACGTTTCGGTGTATTTTT